GCTTAAGTGTATTATTGACAAATAGCTACCATGCAAGGTAGAGTAAGTTCAGAATTAACTCCTAGAGGCGTAAAAGGAGGGAAGGCAGTGCACCTCTGCAGTGATCAGTGACATGATCATCGAAGGTGACATTTGAGCTGGAGCTTGAAGGGTATCATCAAATAAGAGAGGGGAACTGGAAACATTCCAAACAGAGGTCTTGCTCATGGGTAAAAAGCAAGGAGTCTAGATTGGTTGGTAGGGAAATATCAGGAGATCGTGCTAGGAGAGCAGCTTAGGGCCAGTAGAGAGGTATGTTAAATACATACCTCCCTCCTCTACGGCCTCCCACCCCACCAGGCTGGTCCTGCTGACCTTCCAGATCACAACCTGAACGCCACCTCCTCGGAACAGCCTTCCCTGGGCACTTTCGCTAAGCAGGCTTCCTCACAGTATTGGCCTCCGCCACTGCATCCTGTGTATTTCCGGCATCGCATTTACCCTAATGTGTATTTAAGTGTTTAGTCATTTCCTTCTTTGCTGCCCCCACTAGATTACAGGCCCATTGAGGACAGGACTGTATTTGTTCTGTTTCCTGTTGTCCTTCCAGCACCAAGCACAATGCCTATCAGTAAGTGCTCACCAAGCAATAGCTTTGGACCCTACAAGGGTAGGGGCAGTGGTCATGACAATGGAGGACTACACTGAAAAGATATTGTAAACAATCAACAAGTTTTGGTAGGAGATTGGGTGTGATGAGCAGAGGAGGGAGCTCAGGGCTTGAACCTGGGTGACTAGGGCAAGTGGAGAGAGCGACAGGGTCAGAGCTGCAGACTGGGGGAGCCCTTGGAACGGGCTTGGCAAGCTGGGAGAGAAATGAAGTCAAGAGGGAGAGCAGGGACATGGCATTTTTCTCCGTCGAGTCTGAGTGTCGTACTTGGGAGGTAATAGCCAGTCTGAGAGCCTTCAGGTTCTTGGCCAACTTGTGTTGCATGAACACAAATAAGGGGGGACAGAGCAGGTGGAAGGTTCAGCTCTGTGTGAGAAGATAGTAGAGTGAAAAGAAGGGGGAGGAGCTATATAGGAGAGAAAGTGGATGAAGATGAAAGAGAGGAGTTGTAATGATGAAGTGAGAGCCCACAGGAAGTGGCAGGGGCTCCAGAAAGCAAGCTCTCCATAAAACAAGCTGAAAAATGCAGTCACTACAGGTTCGGACCTTGTCAAATCACTTCTCTCCAAGGTTGAATCAGACTAGCACAGCTATTCTCTTGTACTGAGCATCTACTATGTGCCAGTTGTGGCACTAACTGCTGAAGGTATAAAGATTAACAGGACACAGTCTTGGTCCTCAAATAGGAGTCTAGGAGAGAAAGATGGATGCAAAGAGACAGGGCAAGAAAATGTTCTAAGCAGGGCAAAGTGGGAGGCAACTCGGTCTGCTTAGGAGCACAGCTGCTGCAACCGGACAGCCTGTGTTTGGCTCATAGCTCTGCCACTTATTTTGAGTCGGAGTGTCACTCTGTCGCCCAGGTTGGAGTGCAGTAGCATGCTCACGGGTACTGCAGCCTCGACCTGCTGGGCTCTAGCGATCCTTCCGCCTCAGCCTTCCAAGTAGCCAGAACTACAGGCACGCGCTACCACGCCCGGCTAAATTTTTTGATATATTGTAGACACGAGGGCTCAAGTTGCCCAGGCTGGTCTCGAACCCCTGAGCTCAGGCAATCCTCTTGCCTCAGCCTCCCAAAGTGCTGGTATTACAGACTTGAGCCACCACACCCGGATGACTTATTTTTTTGTCAGAGTCTCACTCTATTGCCCAGGCTGGAGTGCAGTGGCACACTCATGGGCCATCACAGCCTTGACCTTATGGGCTCAGGCGATCCTTCCACCTCAGCTTTCCAAGTAGCCAGAATTACAGGTGCATGCCACCACTCTCAGCTAATTTTTTGATTTACTGTAGGTCTTGCCAAGTTGCCCAGCTGGTCTCGAATCCCCGGGCTCAGGCAATCCTCTCGCCTCCGCCTCCCAAAGTGCTGGGACTACAGGTATGAGCCACCATACCTGGCCAGCTCTGCCACTTATTAGCTATATGACCATTTTGTACCTCGGTTTCCTCATGTAGAATATAGGGATAATAAGAGCACCTACCTTCTAGGGCTCTTTTTGGCTACAGGTGAATTAGTATGCAAACAGCACTTAGTAGTAAGCAGGAAATAAATGTAACTTGCTGGAGTGAAGACAAAAGGCCTTACAGGGTATAACAGAGCACAAAGGGAGGGATGGTCAATGCTACCTATGTGGTGGGAGGGGACAAGAGGAAGTGGTTTAGGAAAAGGAACATAGAGGGGAATTCTTGAGTCAAGTCTTGAAATATTGATAAGACCCTTCCACATAAGCAAGATGGGGTGGCAGTGAGGGCACTTATGGGCACAGAAAGAAGCATGACTCAAGACCCGGGGCTGTGGGGCATTCAAGAAGCTCAAATGCCTAGAGCAGAGGGGGACACAGCAGAAGAGGCAGGAGAGACAGGCCAGGGCCTGGTGGTGGAAGGGCCATGCTAAGGAGCTGGGACTTCTGTGTGTAGGAGGGCCCTGTGGGAGAGGAAGCGTACAGGAGACAGCTGATTCGTCAGCCCTGGGAGGCCCGGTCGCAGGCGGACGATAGGGCACATGGAACCTTCTCTCACATGAGCTCTCCACTGGGAGATAAAGGTCAGAAGTCCATTCTCAAGTCACCCACTTTCAGTTCTTTGAAACGTCAGATACTAGTGTGTAGACTGCCAGTGGTAGGGGAGGAATGGCCATGGAGGCAGTTCATTCAGTCTAATGTGGAAAAAGCCAGTGGGCATCAAACTGCACGGTGGGAATGGCTCTGCAGGATAAATCTACTTGGGGCTTCATTGTCAAAGAAACTCTTCTATTTTCTGGCAAAGCACAGGTATCAGCACCCTGCCACTGAGGAGGAACCAAGGTGTGCAGGACCTAGTTCCGCTTCTTGGAAGTGATGGGGGAAAAGGCTTTTGAGGAAATCAGAATTTGAGTTTGAGAAAGTTATTTGCAGTGATAATCAAATGTCCTAGAAGTGCCAAGGAAATGCCTAGATGGATAAAAGGATTAGTGGAGGTCATGAAATCCTAGATGGGAACAGGGATGAAAGACAAAGCTTAGGAATGCCGCGATTGAGTGAACACTCCCAAGGTCTGAGGCGGGCCGTCAGGCATCTCAGGTCACTGTTGACTTCAGCATTCATTTGCTGGCTCGCCTGGACAAAACTGGTTCTCTGAACACCTCATCTCATTGCTGAAAGATTTTCTGATGCCTTGGGCTTCTAGTGACTGCTACCAGGCAGGAGTTGTCCCTGCAGAAAGGACCCTGTTGGCCTTTGGTGTTGACCTTTCTGCTCAAGCCTGTGTCCCTTCTCTGTCCCATCCTTTTCTGCTTGGCCTCGGCCTGCTTGGAGTGCTTCCCCTGTAGGCTCTTCCTGGGTCTGCAGCTCAACTCCCACTTCCTTCTGCCTTTGTATTGGCCTCATCCTTGAGCCTCCAACTTCTACACTTGCTTCGGGTCAGGATTTTGCTTCCACTAGCTAATTTCTAGAATCACTTAAAACTTTATAAGATAAAGTTGGTCAGCCGGGCTTGGTGGCTCAGCCTGTAATCCCATGCCTTTGGGAGGCTGAGGTGAGTGAATTGCCTGAGCCCATGGGTTCAAGACCCACCTGGGCAACTTGGCGAGACCTTACCTCCACAATAAATCAAAAAATTAGCCGGGCGTGGTAGCGCGCGCCTGTAATTCTGGCTACTCGGAAGGCTGAGGTAGAAGGATCGCCAGAGCCCAGTGGGTCGAGGCTGTGATGGCCAGAAGCAGCCACTGCACTCCAGTCTGGGCGACGGAGTGAGACTCCAACTCAAAAAAACAAAAGATAAAGTTAGTCATTTGTGTTTAAACAAATATTGTACTTAGCCATGGGTGTTGACCTATGAGTATTTTACAGTTTGATAACACAGTTCTTCCTGTCAGAGATGAAGAAATTGAGGCATGATCAGCTGCGACGTCAGCAGCAGAAGTGAGAGGAGAGCCACGTCCACATCTCACGCAAACAGAGCTCTCTCCTTCAGGACTTGGCACAGTGCAGTACGAAGAGCATGTCTCCCCCTTTGGTGTTTCCAAGTTGCTCAGGATCTTCACATGCTGGGGCTTGATTTTCTTCAGCTGTACCTCCTCTAAGAGGAACATCAGCCATAGTCTTAGCATGGTGTGACCATAGGTCAAGTCTTTGCTCCCTTTGCACTTGGAGTTGGATTTCCTTAAACCCCCATGGAATTCTCTGGGGACTCCCTTTTGTTGGGCTGCCTTTAGCCAATGAGAAAATGTGGGAAAGCACCTTGCAAACCATAAAGCACCACAGACAAGAGTACTCATTCCTGCTGTGGCATAGCCCACACGTTTCGTGTGGCTCCTTCATCCAGATGTTGCTCTCAACCTTATGAAGAATGGTGGTGCTTCCTCAGACTTCTCCACACAAGGTGCAGCAGCATCAGCCACATCAGAAGTGCCTGCTCTGAGCACTCCTTTCCTCCTTGACAGCTGCAAGGGGATGACTGCTGCCCTGCTCTGCAATCTGCGTATCCCATTCTCAGTTTTGGGAACACCAGTAGCTGGCAGGCCACTTTCTCTGGTTGTTTTTCTCCCCCGGTTCTTTGCTGCTAAGTTGGCCCCCACTTTCTCTAACAAAATCTGCTGCAGCAGGCATCTCCCACCTTGTGTACCTTTTGGGGAAATGTCAGCATTGCGCCACCAAAGATGTGGATCCCCATCAGTTGCTGCTGTCTGAGACAGCATCTGGGGCTGGGATGGAAAGATGACTCCACACCTGTCACCACCCAGAGGGCTGTAGCCATCCCAGGGACCCCTGGCTCAGTCAGCTGATTGTCACCAAAGAGAGTCTTTCAGCCCCCAAAGGCTTGGGCTGCTGCACCCCCACCCTCCCTTCTCGACTTCAAGAAGGTCTCTGAGCCACAGTTCATTGCAACTATCGTTTATTAAAAAATATATGTCTCCTTGGAAGGAACACTGGTAAACCAACTAGTGTCATGCTTACTTTGAATCTTTGCTTCTCTTCTCTGGGAGGGGGAGAGGGTTGAACATGGTTCAGACTTCACCACTTAGTTAACATCAGAGAATCAAGACCTTCTGTGCTCACCCCCTCCCTCACCAGAGTCACAATCAGTCATCGCTTTATCCCTCTTTGCCATCAACCCAGTGTACTGCTCAGGGAAAGCTGCTGCCCTTTCTTTACCCTCATTCTGGGCCCCGTACTTTACAGTTAGCCTCATTATGCTGGTAGGACAATTGTTAACAGATTTCCCAAACTTGACTGGTAGTGCTTAAAGCCTCTTCCATATGGTGTCCTTTGCACAGGCCCTAACCCAGCAGGCTGGGAGACAAGGGCCTCAGCTCTAGGGCCAAGCGTTTCTTCATTCTTCCCTGCGTCATCCCTCCAGCATGGAGGTGAGGGAGGCACATTGGCTTCAAAGGAGCACAGTGGGGTTGGGGAGGGCCTGAACCACACCTGCTGTCTGCACGGGTGGTGGGCTAGGACTCCCTTGACCACAATCACTGCCATCAGACTCTGGGAAAAAGTAACATGGTTTCACAGCTCACCAGTAAGTGAATCTTAGCTCTATAGCTCAAATGTACAGCATTAAAGTCTACTTTTTTCTTGAAGAAACAGTAAGCTACCAGCTGTTGAGGAGGGAGCTGGGGCAGGGCATATGAAGCAGCTGCAACAAAAAACCCAAATCAAACTCATGGCGTGGCTGGCCAAGCCGAGTGCTGTTCCACTGTCCCAAAACAGAACTGGAAGGCTGTGACTCCCTGTCCCTGTTGGTGGGCCCTGGGAAGGAACCTCAGCTGAGCCCAGCATGTCCTTGGCGGGTGAGTGAAGGGACAGCGTGGCAGCGCAGAGCCCCGGCTCCCCCTCTGAGCTCTCACCAGCTCTGCTCTCCCTTCTGCTGACAGGATGGCCAGGCCTGGGTCACCGACTGCCTCTCAAGGTCTGGCTCCTTCAGGACCTCATAAGCCTTCAGAACATTGGCAGACTGGATTCTATGCATTCACTTAAATAGTAAAAGTAAAATTTGCAATAATGAAAAGGCTGACACAGTAGCACAACATGGTTTTGGTTTAACAGCAGCTTAAAAATAAACAAAAGGAAACCTCTCATGCAGACACATCAGGTGGCATAAAACAATAGGCAATTTCACATGGAGCATCATAGCCATTCTCTCTTTGACCTCACACAGGACTGACCGCACCTCAGGGGCAGCAGCTGCTTTCAGGTCAAGTCTCCAACCCTCTTGCCCCCAGGCAAAAGCCGTTTCTCTCAGGCCTCAGGCTGACCCCTCCTAGAGAAAACTTTAGCTCTCAAGAGAATGACCAAATGTGAGTGCCCTTTAGTGCAGCACTAACTACCATTTTCAATCTCTTCCCAACCAGCTGGGATAGAAGATGCCATCTGACTGGAATGTGAAAATTAAAGCATTTCTCTAATCACATAGTACCATTGATGAAGTCTCCATAGATTTTTCTAGTCCAAATGTGTGTGAATATATATATATTATATGAGAGTGTATAATATATATATATAATAATTTCTATATATTTTATATAAATTACATATATATATCTATATATAAATAAGATACTTTCTGTTGCCATTACGTTGCACCGCCTCAGAGCTGTGAGACAGCAGTACAGATAGGTAGAAATGCCCAGGAGCACCTCATCATGTGGTGCATTTAGCTCACTTCACAAGCCGTGCAGCTGTCCAGAGGATGTCTTTCCATCAGTCCTCCTCTCTTCTCTTCGCTTCCGCTTGATGTTTATGAAAACAATGGCTCTGATGGATTTGCACCTGTGCTAGCGCTTGGGAAAGGTCCATGCAGGAATGGGCACAGTCACATGATGAGTGAGATGGCGTCATCTCAAAAAGTAAACTAAAACAAAACAAAAACTTTAAAAAAAAGAACAGGACTAGAAAACTCAATTTTTTTTTGACATATCTAAAAAAGGGGGCAAGAACAGTAGCATTTGTTCTCCCCATGGGGACAGGAATGAAGAGGGAGGAGGGAAGAGGGACTTGATTTCTTCTGTTCACAAGAGAATGGTTGGAGGGGATTCTTCAGAGTTTTTCAGGGGATGGGACCCAAATGTAGTGCCCAGACTGGTCCTCAATGATCTGTTTGATTTTGTTATAAATCTCTTCCAGTGAGTCACCCTGTACAATGGCTAAAGTGAAGAGGAAAATAGAATTATTACGGTGGTCCACAGCATATCCCCCCGAAACCTGGCAATTCTGTCTCTCCCAACAATCCTACAAGCCCCCGTCCCCTCCCCGCAACATGAAGGACATGCTCACAAGAGTGTGGGTTTGGGCTTGGCTACACTAGTCAGCTGTTGGTGTGACGAGGGCAGTAAGGGGAACTAGCTAGATGCCCCAAGCCCAAGGTTTGAAGTCAACTGAATGAGACAGTGAGACTAAGTAGCAATGACTGGAAAAATGTGTTTATTCAAAAGATGTTTATTGAACACCCATTATATGCCAGACCTTGCAGCTCATGTTGCTCTCGGGTGCCATAAGGCCAACAGCTTGTTAATTCTAAAGCAGCCTTACTAAAAGGCTTGGAAAATCCCAGTTATCTACAGAAAGAGCTGAAAGCCACAATTTCTGGCTAGAGGCAGTGCTCCTAGGGCCATCACATCTGCTGTAGGTCAGCCTAGCAAACAAGGACACAGATGCTGACAGTAAAGAGAGCTCTGAAGGCCCAAGGTGTGTGAGTATGTTTATGGATTCTTTAATTCAGGAGCACCACTGACCAGAAGGGACTCAGCACTGCCCTGCCCTGCATACACATATATGTTGCTGGACTTTAAAAGGTGAGGAACATATTACATAGAAATCATCTCAACCTTTTAGGAACCAACTTTCTAAAATAGGTGATTACATAAACACATAAACACACACACACACACACACACACACAACTTGAACACCACACCAAGGAGTCATCATCAACCACAAACGTTTATTCAGCACTTAAAACATGCAAAGCAAAGTACTGAGGGAGTAGAGCTGGGAGGGAGAGAAACAAAGAAATATAAGTAGTCTACACTCTAGTAGGGCCAAGAAGACAAAATGAACAAACCAACAATCCAAGGCAGCATTTGGTAAGTGGTTTATACTATAAACTGCTGTGGCTGGACAAAAGGCACTTGAGTGCTTTGGAAAGGTCTGTGCTCAAAAGCTCAAAAGCAACCGGAAACTGTGCAAAGTTTCTAGATTCTGTCTAAACCTCTTTGAGACACTTATAGAAACAGGGGTCTGGCTGATCCCATGGCACCCCCTGGCTGAGCAGCAGGGAGTCTTACCTGTAAAGTATTCTCCAAACTCCTGCTCCAGTTTCATGGCTTTGTCATAGATCTTATTTGCTTGTTCGTATGTCTGCCGTCGGTTCATTTCCCTGCCAAAGACACAGAAGAAAAGTAGTTTCAAATCAGAGTCTATGTGTTGATTAACCTAAAACATTGTTCCAAGAACCTTGAAAATCTGCTAAGCTGCCTGCACTTCCTTCCTCAAACCTTCCAGGTTCAAAAGCCCAACCAGGAACACACACACAAGCCCTCAAAATAGGAGCACTTGGTGACCAGAGCTGGGACACAGAGCCAAGCTTCTGCTGTGTCCCACCTCTGCCCAGCAAATCACTTCATTCTCCATTTCCCCATACTAGCTGGATGTGTCTTAGTCTCAGCAAACACTTACATAAGGGCTTCAATGGACTTAGGCTTGATGAAAATGGCAATGGGGTAAAGTTGTGCTTGCTGCAGTCTCTTGATAGCATTGCCGGAAACATCTAAGATACAGTGCTTGCCCTGAAAAAGCAGAATTATATCAGCCCAGCCAGTCCCTGCCCACCCTGAAAAAGCAGAATTGTATCAGCCCAGCCAGTCCCTGCCCACCATACCCGAAGCAGAAATCCAGTGGCGTTCTAAACATTCACCCAGGGGAACCCAGGGCCACCTAGAATAGCCTAGAAAATCCTACCCCTGAGGTAGCCAGGCCCCACTTTTTGCTCCTACTACCCAGAAAAGGCCACATCCATTTAGAGGCTCCTGTTCTCTGGTGGGTGACACTCCAGAGTGAGTTGCATGAAGGAAACAGACAGCTTCATCAAGGGGCTGGGGATATACAGAGCTGCCATGGCTCCGGTCAGCAGTCTTGCTTGGTAGCCCCTATGCTGGAAGGAGGAGGACCCAAGTAGAACTTCAGCAAGAGCATTTGTCTTCCCAAGGAGGCCATCTCCTTTTCACTTACCCTCTCTGCAACTGCCCGCACTGACTGGATGCTGGTCCCGTAGAGATTATCATTGAACTGGCCCGCCTCGATGAACTTATTGTCCTGAATATCCTTCTCCATTTGTTCTCGGGACACCACAAAGTGGTAGTCTTGCCCATCCACCTCATTATCACGCCGAGGCCGGGTAGTATCTGAAGGAAGAAAGGGAACACTTTGCGGCCCAAAGGCAACGGTCTGCCCCAAGCCAAAAAAAGCTGATTCTCTCACCTGGGTGGGTCACAGGGCCATTATAATTTATTTTCAGATAAATTATAATGGAAAAAGTAGTTGGGAAGGAGTTTGTCTTGCCTATTTCCCTTCCAACCTCCAGGTCCCACCACAGGAGGCTATTTGCTTTAGTCTAAACTGGGTCCAGAAAGGCAGGGTTCCTGAGCCAAGGCCTGGCAGAGGGTGCCGAACCTGGTACAGCAGTCAGTGAACCTAAGAAACTGTTCATCGAGTTATACCACAACCGCTTTGGCTGGGCCTCCTCATTGTCTAATCATTCCTGACCATCAGCACTCAAACTTCCCCCAAAGAAAGTGAGCGGTCAAACCTGATGTCTTAGTCCTCCCAACCCCATCAGCTTTGGGGGAATGTATTGCCACCTATTCTCCCAGGGTGTCAGATGTACCCTGTTCCCAAATAGCCCTAGAATCCAATTGCAGACCCTTTCCATAAAACATTAGAGCAACAATCCCCAGGGTACCACGTCTCATTCCTTTGGGTCTTTCCTGGGCTCTTACGTGGCACACAGGATCCAAATTTATGTGGGAACTCGGAAATCAGGTCATCATTGACTCGGTCCTTCATTGGGCCCAGGATGATCACAGGTCTTGCATAGTGAACTGGAGAGGGAGAGCATCAAGACAGTGAGCAGAGGCCCCCATCAGACAGCCCATGCTACTTCCAAGTCTGGCTAGAACACAGAGGCTCTGGAGCTGGAGACTCAGACAGAGTGAAGCATCCTCAGCTGCTGTCTGGCTTTTAACTACAAAGACATCAAAGAGCCTTTAATTTGAAAATATCTAAGTCCAAGGCAAGTCTGAAACCAGAAGCATCTCCCCTTCCAACAAAATCGGGAGAAATCTCTGCACTGACACCAGAAGCTAAAGAAGATTTTTGCAGAGGAGTCACTGAAGGAAGGGACCAGGACTTCTCTTTCGGCAGTGGCTATACCCACTGAAATACACCTTCCTTGTATATCTGCTTGCTCCTTTAGAAGGTATCCTAGTGGTGGGCAAAGGCATAGAAAGAGATGCACAGTGGATGGTCGCCCCTTTCCCTACGATACTGGGAAGGAGTAGAAGAGAAGGAGGAGTAGGAGAAGGCTCCTGTGCCATGAGTCGAGACTTCCTCTGCCCCCAGACATCTCCCTCGGATGCTACAGCCACCTACTGTGCTGAGCACCACAATCAGGAGACTAGAATGAAGGCAAGACTCTCAGAAGGGGGCTTACTTTCTTGTCGTGTCACTGGCTCATAGGACAAAATAGCATCCTCTTGTCCTTCTGCAACAAAAAAGGGAGACAGGTTAACACTGTATGATCTGCCTCCCTGTGTGCAACACTCACCACACCCTACCCCTGCCAGAAGACAGCCTTATCAAGTGGTACTTACTACCACCTGCCTTGTGGTCCTTTCTGCTTTCCGTTGGCAAGAAAGCACAGGAACCCCTTCACTGGCCCTGGGGTAGGAGTCAGCAGTTCTTTTATTCAGTAAAACATCCCTGAACAAAAGGCCACGGCCCAGAAGCTATGAAGCCTCCACCAAAAAACCACCCCAACTTTTGAAGAACTACTCTTTTTGTTTTACCATGTTATTTTTATTTTAAAGATGTGGGGATACAATTCAGGATTGAGTATACAAGTGGTCATCATACAGGTAAAGTTGAGTCTCCCTTTGTTCCCCACTTTGCCTGGTTTAAGATCAGTACCCCTACTGATGTTATGTGCCCCCGCCCCCCGCAACTATTCTTATCAGCAACAGTTGGCTGTGTTCAACAGTCCCCTTGCTCTGGCAAGAATGACAGGGATGCTTCAACAGGTCAAAACATACCTCAGGTAGAGGGGTCAGGGCACTCATACAGGTCCCCGAACTGCAGCCTCATTTTGCCCTTTTAAGGGTCTACCTATTCTCCCCACTCTGTTGGAAGAAGCATCCATTAAAGTGGCACATGGCTCAGCTAAGGCCGCAGTGCCCTTTAAGAGCAATGCTGAACTTGCCCTCTCCTCATGGTGGAGCTCCAAGTAGCCTAGAAATGATGAGTTTTTTTCTAAAACAATCATCAAGGCACTTGCTGCTGGGTGCCTGGAGGTCCCATACTAGCTGAAGGCAGTGATCTTTGCATCAAGCCACAGGATGTTTGCTAAAAGGCTTCTTCTGAGCCTAAAACTCCTGGGCAGATTTTATAAGTCCTCTAGCCCCCATAGCTCCTGAAAGGCCAGTGTTTCCAAAGTTCATGAGAGGTTTGAACTGTGGCTTCTCTAGTCTGGTCACAGGATCTCCCAAGGAAAACTGGGTAATTATCTGAGCATTTAACCAGCCCCAAAGGCAAGGAGGTCCTAGTCACCTGGAAACGCAGATTCAGGACAATGTCCCATAGGAGTCATTTTTCTTTTGGTTTCAGGGCAAATCTGTAAACCTGGCAGCACCTACAGACCACAGTGGCCATGGCAGGGATTTACTCTTTAGCAGTTCACCCTTCCCAGGTCCCAGGGATGCCCAGGGTCCTGGCCAGAACTACAGGGCTTATACTCTCCTTTAATCCATGGGGCAAACCCCATCCCATAAGGAGAATGAACTGGCCACAGCATTTCCAGGATCTCAAAGTGTACATGGCTAAAAGAAGCACCAGCCCCTGAGCCGAAATGACAGCCATGCAACACTGGAATGAGGATGGCTGGGACACATAGTGGAGCTACACGACATGGGGAATGACACACACTTACTGGAACTGCTTTCGCTGTCACTGGTGTTGGATGTCACTCCCTCTGCAAGCCAACAAGAAAGAGACTCCAATTCAGAACACACCACTGAGAGGTCACATGCAGCACAAAACTCAAATGCTCCAGAAGCAAGACACTGAGCTGCCAACTGAGTCAGGCTACAAGAGGCCTGTCACATCCAGGCTACAACTGGGAAGCATAGCTCCAATCCTGAACCCCTGGCCACCTCATACTTGTCCCCTGAGCCCTCTTGATCTGCCAAGTGCCTCCCTATGTACTACAAACCTTACTGCCTTTAGCAATATCCTCTTCATCGGAATCAAATAAATTGACTCGGATGGTTTCTAAAATCCTATCTCAAAATGCATCGCCCAAGGATAACAACAGGAAAGAAAAGGCAGTGACGGGGCAAAGAGAAGTCCAGGGACCAGCTGCTCATGAATTCTACCCCCACCCCAGACAGAGCCCCCAAAGTACAGTCATGTGGCCCTCTGGAACTGAAAAGCTAAGCGCCGGATGGGCTGCTTTTCAGAGCAGGCATCAGGGAATGCTACTGTGATCCTTCAGTGGGACCCCCAGACCTCTTGCCACCATTCAGAGATGGCTTCAGCAGTAAGGGGGAAAGTGCTTCCATCCATGAGACAGACTTGTCAAAACACAGAGACAACAAACCCAACAAGAACACCTTGAGGACAAGACAGTCCTCCTGCCTCAGACAGTTGGGATCTGCCCATCTCTGAGTGTGGGCAGAGGAAGCTCAGTGGAGGAGCACACACAAAGCCCCCCCCCCAAGGACGACAGGATAATGAAGATGAGACATGGACACACCAAACTATGGAGAGATGCTGCTCATTTCAGCCAAGACCACACTGTTCCAGACCATGATATGCTGTGGCCCCACCCGCCAGGAAGAACTGGCTGAGTTGCCACGCATGGCTAGCTCCTGAACAATCCCTGATGGCAGCTTCTTTGCCTTCAGCCTTTATTATTTATTGAAGGAGAGTATATGCTGACAGAACCTACCCAGCAGGGCTGCATGTCTGTGCACCTCTGCACGCAGCAGGATGACCACTAAGGCAGCATCCGCTAGGTCCTTTTCATTTTCCACTCTAGAATTCTTTTCCAGAATGGAAAATGAGGTCAATCAGAGTTTTCCTGAGATAAAGCACTAACTATATATGGTCCATACATGGTGCTGAGGCCCCCACCAGACCAGCTCAGCCCCTTAGAGACATTCTGTGAGAAGCTGGCCCATGCATGACTGCTTGCTGAGGCCCTAGATCTGCTGGGACATCCCAAATGCAGGTTGGGTAAAGGAGTTAAACAGTACCCTTGTTCCTAGTTAAAGGTAAGAGCTGTAATTCCTATAGCCAATTTTTTTTTTTCAAAAGATGGGGTCTTACCCTCTTGTCCAGGCACAATCATAGCTCACTGTAACCTTGAACTCCTGGATTCAAGCAATCCTCCTGCCTCAGCCTCCTGAGTAGCTGGGACTACAGGCACACATCACCACGCCCAACTACTTTTTTTTTTGTAGAGTTGGAATCTCACTATGTTGCCTAGACTAGTTTCAAACTCCTGGCCTCAAGTGATCTTCCTGTCTCAGTCTCCCAAAGTGCTAGGATTACAGGCATAAGCTACTGTTCCTGGTCCTATGTCCAATTCTTTCGTGTGGTGTCACTAGGAGAAGAATTCAACCAGCAGGTACCCCTTGCCTTGACAATAGGCTAGAAATTAGCTGAGTGGTCACCCTGGAGAAGCATTTCGAACCCACTTTACTTCTAAGGTACGATGCCAGGCTCACGCCCTCCCATTTCAAGTGGCAAAAGGGAAACACAGACATGAATGATAGAGATTTATTAGGGTACCAGGGATCCAGAGCAAATGTGTGACATTCGGAGCCACATGCACTTCCTTCTACTGTGGATTCAGAGTTCTCACAAATACTGCCCTCCCCTCACCCTTCCCCCGTCCCCATGTCCCCTACACCCCCACCCCCACGATCTCCAGTCATGCCACAAATACAGTTAATCGTGTGTAAGTTTGACTTACTCAGGTTCTTTGCTCCATAATAATCGTCACTTAACCCCGGGAAGTCCTGATTTCACAGACAGCAAGGTGGGGGGGAGGGGAGGGGGAGAGAATTGGGAATAAGAGAAAAAATAGAGAAGACAAGGGAGAGGAAGAATACAGAGGCAGGTGAGCACTAGTGACAGAAGTATGAAATACTATGAAGACCTATAACTACAGTGAGGTCAAGAACTTTGCTAGAGAAAGAATATCCCAGGTCAGATAAGATATCTGGACTTCAGGCTGCCCAGTTTGTTGCCAGAGGGCCTTGGAGTAAACTAGCTTCCTGAGACAGTCTATAGCTGTAGGCCCACAGGACAGGACAGACACTCCAAGGCTTGGAGCACCTGCTTTGGACAAATTTGCAGTTGTAGAGCCCAGGTCTCTGCTTTGCCCATGAAATCACCATTTCCCTCTGTGGGTGCATGAAAGAGCAAATGTCAATGTGTGTCACGTAGGCAGGCAGAATTACCATCGACCCAAAGAGCTTTTGCCCAATACTGACTCACTCTGTCCAAACCCTTAAGGGAAAGTTACATGTGGTCTGGGATGTAGCCCCCAAAACTGCCCTGGATTGTGCAGACCCTGGGGGATGAGCTCAGCTTCTGGAGAACACACACTAGGCAATTTCAACTCCATCGTCCAATGGGCACCTCCTCCCAGACCGCCACAAAGTGGTGAACACCTCCCCAGGCTGGGCTCAGCATGGAGGTTTCTGGGACTCATCTGATGAACTGTGGTGACACAACCACGGGCCTTTGTCTCAGACCATCTCCTACTGCTCACAAGTAGAACCAACTTTACCTATTGCTTCTTATTGAGCTATCCCAGGATGATGAGCCCTGGACTTCATCTGAACGACGGCACCCTCCTATTTGCTAGGTACCACCCCATATAGCAATGACCTACAAATACCATGACCTGAAAAAAAAGTGACATTTCCTTTCAGAACTAGTCAGTTTCTTGCTAGTTCCAATAGCTTAGGACCCCAAGATCCCACCATGTAAGACAGAGGAGTCACTGGTAAATGAGAGATGTTTACAATTCATGATGAGACAAAGGAGAAAATATTTTTCAAGGCAGACCTGGTGTTTAAGGTTAGGGTCAGAGCAGCTAATTTCTGAGGCATATGGTAGAATAAGAAGATTTGTCAGGATTAAATTGGTTCTTAAAGTTAATTTAGCTCAGTGTTATAGCTTTTTCTACCAAACCAGTTTTGTGTTTCTCAATAAATCTTTATTTGGACAATGTTGAACAACATTCCTTCCATGTCAACTTATTACAGTGGGAGGGACTCTCTTGTGAAAACTGCTTCTGTAGGTACTCTAGGATATCCTGTGTGCTTATGCACATGAGTGAGGTTCTGGAAGTAACCCCAACTCCAGGGATCCTGGGAAGAAAAGGCTCTTCTCTTGACATACATGAGTGAAGTTAAGGGAAAGAAAACATACGAGGAAGAAGCCAGGAGAGCAACACTGAGTTCCTAGATCTTGTTCTCTTGAAAAACCATTTTTCTAACCCTGACACTCTGACTTTAAAACCACTCCACATGACCACAGCAGAGCTCCACCTAGCACTTCCAATGCCAGTGGCAGGTACTTCCTGGAGGCTGGCCTTGGGACCAGTTCCCACCTCAGTGCCTCCAACATTCATTCCAAGTGAGGAGCTGTACAAATAAGACCCAACATCTCCCCATGCAGACCAGTTTCTGCCCCAACTCTGCAAATTAGCAGGTGCACGTGCATACAGGCGTGCACAGGGCCACACACACCCTTGCCCAGACTTCTCCTGAAGGAAGGTGCAACTGAGGACAAGAGGATAGGGCTGCAGACGGTCTGCTCTCTGGACTCTGCTGCTACTTACGTTCCTGTATGCTGCTTTCCTGGGTCATGTTTTCTTTGCTCTTGTAAAATGGAAACTTTCGAGAGAGGCGGAAACTCTTTTTACGTTTCGTTTTGATCGACTGTGAAAGAACATGAAGATGGAGGGGAAGGACAGGAAAAAAAAAAAACAGAACAATGGATTTTAAAGCATGCAAGAAAAACTAAAATGGAGACAATGGTGAGCTAAATAAAAGACCATCTCTCACAAATGAGTCTATGAGATTAAATGAAAGTCGATGTAAGAAGAAAATTATGTTTACAGGAAAATGTTGTAGGGATGTTAAAAGTTCCAACCTAACCCAGACTCATAACACTCACTGGCACTTCCTAAAGAACAAAGGTCACTGTAGCCTCCTGGACACATGCCCTAAGGTGCCATTAATATACACAGAGTCATCTACTCCATGTCTCTCTTCCCTCTACTGCTCCAGAAGTTCTTTGGCCTGTGAAGCTCATAGAAGAAAAGGAGTAAATGGAGAACCCTCCTGCCTTGGGTGGTCTGAAGAGGGGAGGGAAATCTGGGGCTGGACTTCCTGGCTGGATGAGGAGGCCAGGTTCTGTTCAAGGTCCCCACAGCTCCGACAGGGTCTGTAGCCAGCGAGACACCCATGAGTGGTTTCATTTTCCCCAAGCAAGTAAGACTTCCACAGTCCAAGTCGAACACATTTTCAAGAGCCAGTACCCAGGGGGCAAAAGCACACACTAGCCGTGGACTTTAAGTGCTCTCTCTGCTTTCTGAAAAAGTCAATGTTCTGACAGGACAGAGCCAGCCCTCTGAAAAAGAGATTTTCTTTTGTGCTCCCCAGTTCTCTTACACATAGATCAAACTCCAAGCCTCTTACCCCTCTTCACATACTGGCTGACCTCCTCGGGGGTCCCCACTTACCCTGTTAGACTCAATCATCCCTGTCCTGGCATGGAACTTCACGGTTTTCAATCGAGCTCTTTCTTTCTTTTCCACCCTGTTTTGGAGTCAGAAAGAAGTGCTGTTACTGCCAGTATATGGTCTTAGCAGTGAGTTGCAGCAGGCATAGCAGCCACTTTTTGGCTCACTGAGGGAAAACCATGTCGATTACCAACTCTCTACCAAAAAGGAATCATAAAGCACATATGTGACTCTCAAGCAACTTCTCACAGGAAAACAAGAAAGAAATACCAGCAAGAGGGCAGAAAGACCTTGCTCATAGTCATGACAACTCACCTCTTCTTACTGGGGATCACACCAATCTGCTCACTTTCTCCATGTGGGGTCACCAGCCTTGCCTGCCACCACTCATCATCAGAGGCATTAATGACATGCAGAATATCACCATAAGAGAAGCTGAGCCCCTGGCTTGGCAGGCAGCTGTCCCGAGTCCGATCATAATCAAACAGGGCCCTGAAAGGCACAGTGGAAAATGAAGTAATCATCCAACCCTAAATGCCAGGAGACTGGCATCCTGAAAGACCAGCAGAGGCAGGCCAAACAGCGCAGACGCAGCAGCCTCACAGCAAACCAGAAGGAATCTCCAGTAGACTGCATCCTTCTTCTAGTCCCAAAGTAGTAAATACGTACCACCCTTTCAAAGAAACATCCCATTCTCCCAAGAAGGGGCATAAGGGAAAATTGTTACAAATCCCACCTCCTCCCACTTCTGGATACAAGGTAGAAGTCCAAAACAGAACTCACTCAATAGCCCTCTCCCTCACACACATCCTAGGGAACTAGCTCTACCAGAGAGCTTTCTCAGTTTACAAAGATATCCTCAAAAAGCAGTTGAAGAGAGGACAAAAAAGTGTTAACTACAATCCTAAAACAATGAATGGCAAATACTGCAAATCACAAAAGAAGGGGCCTTGTGTCCTAGGGCAGCCAAGGCAAAAAAGCTAAGACTGATGTTGTCCCTCACAAGGAACCCTAGAAGTCTCCTAGATCAGTCTCTTTCTCTTACATATGGGGGAACAGAGGCCCAGGGAGGAAGAACACTCCGACTAGGTCATACACCTAACTAACCTAGAAAGGAACCTAGGTCCTCTGACAAGACATGCTATAAACCACGAAGAGTGAAGAGATAGAAAGGAAGGGAGGGAGGGAACTATACCATCCAGGTTTGTGGGAAAGGACACCAGCTTAGTTGCTGCTGGAAGTCTTGGAAATGATGTTGGAAATGCAAGTCTGAGGCAAATTTTGGAAGGCCTTAAATAGATCTGATCTAGTAGCCCCTGAAAATGTGAGAATGACACATCAAAAGAGTCACAGGAACACTAACCTGACTTCATATGCAATGAGAAAATTGGTGGATGTGGAGGACTTGGAGGCAAATTTAAACCAAAGCTCCAAGCTCAATCCTTCAGGGCCCATTGCTGACTAGCTCTGGTGAGTCTAGGCTGGTACTTTACACCAGAGCTTCCTGCTCAGGGAACAAACCCACCTAGATAAGAGTTTCTACCATTCTCACCCCAGTGAACCCCTCCTCATATGGAGTCACCACAAATGGGTGATTTCGGCGAGAAGTTTGTATTTTCTACCTACAATCTAGGCTCTGTCTTCTTCATATTCTCTTTTAACAAAAGTGTTTTTTATACTTTTGCACACACAACCCAGCAGATTGCCCAGAACCCAGTTCTAAGACTTCAACTTCCACCTGCAAAGCTGTGGTCTGTGGCCCAACTGGAAGCTGCAAGCAAAAGGTTTCCCCACGTGCAAGCCCAAGTGAAAGACAGGATGTCATAAAACCATGGAGAGTAAAATACCCATCTACTATTTAAAGTTCTTGAAACAGAATCTTTAAAAATCAGTGTCAGATGATTTGAAAATGAAAATACCCAAATTCCAACAAAAAGCCCTTTATTTCCCTCAATTTACACACTCAAGAGAGTAAGTGGCAGATGCCAGTTGATAAGGAGGTGCTGTCCGCAAGGCACTCTGTGTGACAGAATCAAATCTGAATGCATTTGTACTGCCTGAGCCCTGTGTTTCCTAAAGCAAGGAAGGTGTTCTGTCAGCCGCTCCTGCTAAGATGAGTACCATAAAGTGACCTTATTCTCAGTGACAGTAAGAAACACTGAATGTCATTGTAGGCTTCAAAGATTGGGACAAATATAGTAAGGAAAATAACAGAACTTGAATTAAGCACAAATTAGTTTGGGGAGGTAAGGAACGAAGATGTTAAAATCAATTAGTAGTGAATAGGATGAGTTTGTAGATTAGAAGGTAGAGTTTACTGGTTATCAATTTAAAACACAAGACACATTTTAGCACCTCATAGAACCATGCCTGACCTTTGGCAACAGCAGTAACCAGCTGTAGTACATATGGCAAAGTTGATGTAAACATGTTTTCTGGATGCCAGGAATCTAATTATTTATAATTTTTTAAACATCAGAGGTTCAAATAAAACTAATATAAAAATTTACTTCCAAGATGAATTTCAGGTATCTTACTACATTAAAACACACATAGCACAAGCTAAGTAAAAACAAAAGAAATAGAGCAAAGTCAACAAGACTGCCAGTAGTTAATTACCTCTGAACACTGGGAATTCTGTTTGGTTTGTCTTTTGGCCACAGCATGTGTTCCTTTTGCCATTTTCAAAAAATATTAAGTCAATTAAAATAGAAAGTAGGGAAACAGATATACCAAGCACTGACTTGAGTCATTTGCTTCAGATGATACATTTGACTCTAAGCTCCCTGGCAAACAAGGCAAAAAAGGAAGTTTACAATTCCAATTTCCTAATAAAAAGTGGCACCCAAATCTATCTGGATTTTGTTTCATGAATTTGTGAATGATGAATGAACAAGGAATACTGAACAACAGGATAGACAATACTTTTTTAGCTATGATTTTTGTTAAAAGCATAGAAACATGAGCTTGAAATTCTAAACTATAATATTATTGCTCAGTTGGGAATGTAAAAAAAATGAATTAACAAGAGTTTCCTTTTCTATCAATCAGAACTGCAAATAGAAAAAGAACTCTGCAGAACAGTGGTGCTTTAGAGGTCAATTTGTCCAACTTCCTATCTAATAAAGAAAATCCCTTAGATATTCCCTAAGTTTCTTTTCAGCTCTAGCATTTAATGAGTCTGGGTCTTTCCTAGGTCCTTTCTACCAGGCTAAACATTCTCAATTCCTTCAACAATCCTTCCCTTTGTCATAATTTTTATTTGTTTTTCAAACCCATGATGTGGATTTTCTCTAAATCCACTTTGCCTCTTTTTCCTGCTGAAACTCTAAGAGCTAGAACACGTCTTCACAAATTATGAAAGCCAGTCCCCAGATGCACGCAGGGCCTCATCTAGAGTTACATGGCAGGTGACTCTCAGACTAGGGTTCTTAAATCTCAGAAAATGTTATGAGGTATCTAAGTCATAGTCACATGTATTTTTATTTATTTGTTTTATTTTGTATGTGGCTTTTTTCTTTTGAGTTGGAGACGCACTCTATTGCCCAGGCTGGAGTGCAGTGGCACACTCACGGCCACCGCAGACTCAACCTGCTGAGTTCAGGTGATCCTTCCACTTCAGCTTTCCAAGGAGCTGAAACTACAGGCACACGCCACCACGCCTGGCTAATTTTTTGATTTATTGTAAAGATGAGGTCTCGCCAAGCTGCCCAGGGTGGTATCAAACCTGTGGGCTCAGGCAATCCTCTCACCTCTGCCTCTCAAAGTGCTGGGATTATAGGCATGAGCCACAGCGCCGGGCCCTATGTGTATTTTTTAAAAAGTTAATTCTCCACTTGCATGTCTAGAAAATACCATTCTTTCACTATTTAAATACTTAGTGATTATTCTTTATGCTGGCACTATGTTAGGTATATGGGCGATACAAAAGAAAATAAATTCCTGGCTTACTATCTGACAGGATGGTATACTGAATATGTCATAGCAAGATGCCCAATAGGAGGACAAACCAAGGCCTAAAAGCATTCACTGGGAGTACAAATCACATCTAGTTTGGGGAGGCTAGAGAAGGTATTGCTTTTGAATTGGGCCTCAATTAAGGTTCAGGATCTCAAAAGGTATAGACAGGGAGGGGTCCTTTCAGCTAGAGGGAACAATATAAGTAAAGACCTGGAGGCAAAAAGTACTGGATATGTTCAGAGATCAGCAGTGCATCCACATCTGGGTGGGCTGCAAAGGGTGGCAAGTTGGGGCCTGATAGTAGACAGCCTGGATTGTCCAGCTAAGGAGTCTGACATTCATTAATTAGGCTTTGTGTGACCAACTTCATTGCCTCTGCTTTTTTATCCAATTACTAGGCTACACTTTCATGTGGAAATTAACCCAGTAACAAGTAAAGGCCAGAATATTAAAATCGAACAACCTCTCACATGACATATATTTCGTGTGCTCAAAAAAGGTATTTTGTAAATTAGACATAAATTTTGTAAAAATATCAACTACCTTTCTAAGACCTTTAAGAAGCAAGCATGTTAAATTGTGGCCATCTAGCAGTGACAGTCACTCTTAGGAACAGCCTGGAATCCTAATGAGCTGACAGGGTTTTTTACCTTCTTACAAATGCCTCATGTTAGGTCTGGTAAGAGAAGGAAGGAATACCTTTCTGCACAACACTGATATAGCCTCCCCCTCCCCTTTTTATCCCTAGGGCAAGCATTAGAGAAAGTCAAGGCAGACACAGCCCCTTTTAAATTAGGCTGAACCACAGTCCCCCAAACTGAAATCCTACACCTGCAAGCCCACATGACACAGCAACCAACCATTTCAACCTCTGATTCAAAAAGAGTGGGCAAGAAAAAAGAAAACAAAACCTATTTGTCTCCAGACACCTAAAGAAAGGCTGTAATTAACCATATGCCACCCTGGTCTTATCGTGTTGTGTGTGTGTGTGTGTGTGTGTGTGTGTGTGTGTGTGTGTGTGTGTGTGTGTGTGTGTGTGTGTGTCAGCTTATCTGACAAAATGGTGTGTGGAAAAAGTAAAGGCTTCAAAAATTTGTGTGTGTGTGTGTGTGTGTGTGTGTGTGTGTGTGTGTGTTTCAGCTTATCTGACAAAATGGTGTGTGGAAAAAGTAAAGGCTTCAAAAATTCACTCTTTCTGGGTTTAGATAAAAAGAATTCCATGGAGACCTCTAAGTAAAGACTGGTCGGGTCAGAGGAAAACACTGTGCCACGAGAGAACAAAACTTATGGAAATATTACCATCCCCAGCCCAAAGTCAAGGGCTTGATATACATGAAAGACGATTTGCCCCTTGAATATGTTCCTCCTTTTCTATGAAGCCAGAGAGAGCCAGACCCTGGGTATTCCTGCAACTTTTCAAACATTGAGGCCAGGCCAGAAAAATATTAAATTATTTAAGAGCAGAGTAAAGACTGTGGTCCAGGGAAAATGAAGTATGTAAAAACAAAGTGACAGTAGACAACAAAGAAGTT